TGAATCTGATACCACCCTAGTAAACAAACGCCATTACAGTGGATGCCTGTATCATATACCCCAGAATGGTATGAATCTGATACCACCCTAGTAAACAAACGCCATTACAGTGGATGCCTGTATCATATACCCCAGAATGGTATGAATCTGATACCACCCTAGTAAACAAACGCCATTACAGTGGATGCCTGTATCATATACCCCAGAATGGTATGAATCTGATACCACCCTAGTAAACAAACGCCATTACAGTGGATGCCTGTATCATATACCCCAGAATGGTATGAATCTGATACCACCCTAGTAAACAAACGCCATTACAGTGGATGCCTGTATCATATACCCCAGAATGGTATGAATCTGATACCACCCTAGTAAACAAACGCCATTACAGTGGATGCCTGTATCATATACCCCAGAATGGTATGAATCTGATACCACCCTAGTAAACAAACGCCATTACAGTGGATGCCTGTATCATATACCCCAGAATGGTATGAATCTGATACCACCCTAGTAAACAAACGCCATTACAGTGGATGCCTGTATCATATACCCCAGAATGGTATGAATCTGATACCACCCTAGTAAACAAACGCCATTACAGTGGATGCCTGTATCATATACCCCAGAATGGTATGAATCTGATACCACCCTAGTAAACAAACACCATTACAGTGGATGCCTGTATCATATACCCCAGAATGGTATGAATCTGATACCACCCTAGTAAACAAACACCATTACAGTGGATGCCTGTATCATATACCCCAGAATGGTATGAACCTGATACCACCCTAGTAAACAAACGCCATTACAGTGGATGCCTGTATCATATACCCCAGAATGGTATGAACCTGATACCACCCTAGTAAACAAACACCATTACAGTGGATGCCTGTATCATATACCCCAGAATGGTATGAATCTGATACCACCCTAGTAAACAAACGCCATTACAGTGGATGCCTGTATCATATACCCCAGAATGGTATGAATCTGATACCACCCTAGTAAACAAACACCATTACAGTGGATGCCTGTATCATATACCCCAGAATGGTATGAACCTGATACCACCCTAGTAAACAAACGCCATTACAGTGGATGCCTGTATCATATACCCCAGAATGGTATGAATCTGATACCACCCTAGTAAACAAACGCCATTACAGTGGATGCCTGTATCATATACCCCAGAATGGTATGAATCTGATACCACCCTAGTAAACAAACGCCATTACAGTGGATGCCTGTATCATATACCCCAGAATGGTATGAACCTGATACCACCCTAGTAAACAAACGCCATTACAGTGGATGCCTGTATCATATACCCCAGAATGGTATGAATCTGATACCACCCTAGTAAACAAACGCCATTACAGTGGATGCCTGTATCATATACCCCAGAATGGTATGAACCTGATACCACCCTAGTAAACAAACGCCATTACAGTGGATGCCTGTATCATATACCCCAGAATGGTATGAACCTGATACCACCCTAGTAAACAAACGCCATTACAGTGGATGCCTGTATCATATACCCCAGAATGGTATGAATCTGATACCACCCTAGTAAACAAACGCCATTACAGTGGATGCCTGTATCATATACCCCAGAATGGTATGAATCTGATACCACCCTAGTAAACAAACGCCATTACAGTGGATGCCTGTATCATATACCCCAGAATGGTATGAATCTGATACCACCCTAGTAAACAAACGCCATTACAGTGGATGCCTGTATCATATACCCCAGAATGGTATGAATCTGATACCACCCTAGTAAACAAACGCCATTACAGTGGATGCCTGTATCATATACCCCAGAATGGTATGAATCTGATACCACCCTAGTAAACAAACGCCATTACAGTGGATGCCTGTATCATATACCCCAGAATGGTATGAATCTGATACCACCCTAGTAAACAAACGCCATTACAGTGGATGCCTGTATCATATACCCCAGAATGGTATGAATCTGATACCACCCTAGTAAACAAACGCCATTACAGTGGATGCCTGTATCATATACCCCAGAATGGTATGAATCTGATACCACCCTAGTAAACAAACGCCATTACAGTGGATGCCTGTATCATATACCCCAGAATGGTATGAATCTGATACCACCCTAGTAAACAAACACCATTACAGTGGATGCCTGTATCATATACCCCAGAATGGTATGAATCTGATACCACCCTAGTAAACAAACACCATTACAGTGGATGCCTGTATCATATACCCCAGAATGGTATGAATCTGATACCACCCTAGTAAACAAACACCATTACAGTGGATGCCTGTATCATATACCCCAGAATGGTATGAATCTGATACCACCCTAGTAAACAAACGCCATTACAGTGGATGCCTGTATCATATACCCCAGAATGGTATGAATCTGATACCACCCTAGTAAACAAACGCCATTACAGTGGATGCCTGTATCATATACCCCAGAATGGTATGAATCTGATACCACCCTAGTAAACAAACGCCATTACAGTGGATGCCTGTATCATATACCCCAGAATGGTATGAATCTGATACCACCCTAGTAAACAAACGCCATTACAGTGGATGCCTGTATCATATACCCCAGAATGGTATGAATCTGATACCACCCTAGTAAACAAACGCCATTACAGTGGATGCCTGTATCATATACCCCAGAATGGTATGAATCTGATACCACCCTAGTAAACAAACGCCATTACAGTGGATGCCTGTATCATATACCCCAGAATGGTATGAATCTGATACCACCCTAGTAAACAAACACCATTACAGTGGATGCCTGTATCATATACCCCAGAATGGTATGAACCTGATACCACCCTAGTAAACAAACGCCATTACAGTGGATGCCTGTATCATATACCCCAGAATGGTATGAACCTGATACCACCCTAGTAAACAAACGCCATTACAGTGGATGCCTGTATCATATACCCCAGAATGGTATGAACCTGATACCACCCTAGTAAACAAACGCCATTACAGTGGATGCCTGTATCATATACCCCAGAATGGTATGAATCTGATACCACCCTAGTAAACAAACGCCATTACAGTGGATGCCTGTATCATATACCCCAGAATGGTATGAATCTGATACCACCCTAGTAAACAAACGCCATTACAGTGGATGCCTGTATCATATACCCCAGAATGGTATGAACCTGATACCACCCTAGTAAACAAACGCCATTACAGTGGATGCCTGTATCATATACCCCAGAATGGTATGAATCTGATACCACCCTAGTAAACAAACGCCATTACAGTGGATGCCTGTATCATATACCCCAGAATGGTATGAATCTGATACCACCCTAGTAAACAAACACCATTACAGTGGATGCCTGTATCATATACCCCAGAATGGTATGAACCTGATACCACCCTAGTAAACAAACACCATTACAGTGGATGCCTGTATCATATACCCCAGAATGGTATGAATCTGATACCACCCTAGTAAACAAACGCCATTACAGTGGATGCCTGTATCATATACCCCAGAATGGTATGAATCTGATACCACCCTAGTAAACAAACGCCATTACAGTGGATGCCTGTATCATATACCCCAGAATGGTATGAATCTGATACCACCCTAGTAAACAAACACCATTACAGTGGATGCCTGTATCATATACCCCAGAATGGTATGAATCTGATACCACCCTAGTAAACAAACGCCATTACAGTGGATGCCTGTATCATATACCCCAGAATGGTATGAACCTGATACCACCCTAGTAAACAAACGCCATTACAGTGGATGCCTGTATCATATACCCCAGAATGGTATGAACCTGATACCACCCTAGTAAACAAACACCATTACAGTGGATGCCTGTATCATATACCCCAGAATGGTATGAATCTGATACCACCCTAGTAAACAAACGCCATTACAGTGGATGCCTGTATCATATACCCCAGAATGGTATGAATCTGATACCACCCTAGTAAACAAACGCCATTACAGTGGATGCCTGTATCATATACCCCAGAATGGTATGAACCTGATACCACCCTAGTAAACAAACACCATTACAGTGGATGCCTGTATCATATACCCCAGAATGGTATGAATCTGATACCACCCTAGTAAACAAACGCCATTACAGTGGATGCCTGTATCATATACCCCAGAATGGTATGAATCTGATACCACCCTAGTAAACAAACACCATTACAGTGGATGCCTGTATCATATACCCCAGAATGGTATGAACCTGATACCACCCTAGTAAACAAACACCATTACAGTGGATGCCTGTATCATATACCCCAGAATGGTATGAATCTGATACCACCCTAGTAAACAAACGCCATTACAGTGGATGCCTGTATCATATACCCCAGAATGGTATGAATCTGATACCACCCTAGTAAACAAACGCCATTACAGTGGATGCCTGTATCATATACCCCAGAATGGTATGAATCTGATACCACCCTAGTAAACAAACGCCATTACAGTGGATGCCTGTATCATATACCCCAGAATGGTATGAATCTGATACCACCCTAGTAAACAAACACCATTACAGTGGATGCCTGTATCATATACCCCAGAATGGTATGAATCTGATACCACCCTAGTAAACAAACGCCATTACAGTGGATGCCTGTATCATATACCCCAGAATGGTATGAATCTGATACCACCCTAGTAAACAAACGCCATTACAGTGGATGATAAACTACTCAGCAGGGCCGGAAATGCAAAAAATACATTTATTACATTTATTACATTTATATCATATCCAAAATCCTGTTTTAATATTAACACCGGAAGGTCTTCTGGACATCCTGTTGGAGTATTAACACCGGAAGGTCTTCTGGACATCCTGTTGGAGTATTAACACCGGAAGGTCTTCTGGACATCCTGTTGGAGTATTAACACCGGAAGGTCTTCTGGACATCCTGTTGGAGTATTAACACCGGAAGGTCTTCTGGACATCCTGTTGGAGTATTAACACCGGAAGGTCTTCTGGACATCCTGTTGGAGTATTAAAACTGGAAGGTCTTCTGGACATCCTGGGTCTTGAAGATGAAGGACGTGTCAGTGGCTTCAGTCTGCAGACACTCCGCCTCCTCCTGGAACAAAACAAGATGTTGTCTGTTAGACCTGATTGTGTAGATTTTAAACTACAGATTGTGTCTCAATTAAAATGCAATAAGACTGTCCTAGGACTCTGTCTGAAGTGTACAAGCAGTCAACTCATTGAGTCCTCAATCAAAAGCTCAATGAGAATGAGGTTGGAGGGAAGATATCATTGAGCCTCCGATGCACTGAGGGGGACATGAGGGATCAAGGACTTGACTGTCGACAACTTTCAGACATCAAATGAAGGGACATCAGTTCAGTGACTAATTCCAGGTGATTTCAGAGTTACTCACATCAGTGAAGAACTTCTCTATGAGTCCCTGGGCAGTACGGTACACAGTGTCATTCTCATGGTTCTGGAGCATCTCGATCTTATCCAGCCCTCCCAACTCCTCAACCAGTAGACACAGCTTATCAGTCTCACCCAGCTTCTCTGCTGCCTGGAACAAGAGAAGAGGGAGGTGGTTTGACTCCACAAAACGGACCGCTTCTCTGCTGCCTGGGAGGGAAAGTACGAAGGCTAACACTAAACTCTGACTAGGTGTCTCACCATGAAGAGGTTGTTGATGGCGTCCATTATGACGAGGATGGTCTTGGAGTCTTTGACAGTCAGCAGGTTGAGGATGGCCTCCAGGCCTCCTGATTGGACGAGCTGGATCACCTGCTCTACAGTGCCCCCGTTGGTGAAGTTAGTTATTGCCCACACTGCCTCCCGCTGGGTCTTAAAGTCACCCTGAGAGAACACACCAGATACGGGGTTAAGTGACGTTAGTTATGGACCACACTGAATCACCCTGAGAAACCAGATACAGCGTAAGTGCTTATGCCCTTCACAGTAAAAGTTAACGTGAATGAACTGTGAGGGTGAACACCCGACGAGTCCATCAAATTGCCACCTGTGATGGCATCTTGCGTAGAGAGAGCGGTGAACTGCTACGCAAGTTATAAAGCCATGAGTAGATCTAAAGCTAGCCAGCTTCAAATTCCAGCTCAGGCTTCATCCATACGGTGGATGTTGCTCACCCGCCTGCCGCTGACGCCAGCAGGATTGTAATGTGCACGTCCCACACGGCTAGGCGAATGCTGACGTCAAAACTAAAAGCTACGACGTACGTGCAACGCACAACAACCTTTTCCCACTCCTATCGATTGTATTAAGCCCAACAAAAGTGTTACTGTGCATGAGGTTGAAAGCTCATTGTCATTATTAAATGTGATATTTTAACAAAAATAATCTGATAGTCTTCAACTAATTGCTCAGACACTTCATTCAGGGTAAATGGAGTTAACCTGCACCAGGGCAGGCTAGTTCTGAAGGACTCGTTGCCATAGACATGTGCCGGTCTAAAAGGTCAGCCACATTTGTATGACCGTTTAGCACGTTGAAACTCAGTTAGCCAGCTTCATAGGACACCCCTCTGGTCTTTAAGTGGAGGCAGAAGCCTAGTGGTTCCCAACCCTCTTCTCTGGGACCCCCAGCCAGCTGTTCCAAACCTACAGGACCCCCCCCAGCTGTTCCATGTATTTGATCTATTCCAGAACTAGCTAATCTGATTCAACTAATCATCAAGCCCTTAACTAGCTGATGTTCCAGTTCAGGGCGACAACTCTGGGGGTTCCAAAGGAGAGGTCTGAAAGCCACAGGTGAGTAGCGGCTGTATCAAGGTGTCACCAACGTTGCGTAGCAGGTCAATAAGCGGGGGCAGCAGGCCGCAGGTGAGTAGTTGTTGTATCTGTTGAGCGGGACCAGCAGCGATGTTGGATACGGCCCAGGCTGCCTCCTTCTGAACACTGGCCTTGTTGTGTCTCATTAACCTGGGCAGGGCAGACAGAACCCCTGCATCGATGGCCACCTGACAGGAATACAATTATTAAAGTCAAAGTTATTCAAGCTTACAGGTAGTTTAGTATCATCTAGCCACATGATAAAATAATTTATCCTAATGAAATCATAATTCAAGTTCATTATGACTCTGTCCAAAGCTTACAAGTAGTAATCATAGTGTAGTATACTCTAGTTAATGTAACTTAGTGAATTTAATTGACTACTAAAGCTTACAGGTAATCATAAAACAGTGTCACACTGGATAAGTTCAGTGAAATGTTTTATTTTATTTTCAGGGACTTTTTACCTCTGGAGCAAGTTAGTGTTAAAGGCCTTGCTCAAGGGCACAGACAGATTGTTCACCTAGTCACCTCTTGGAACAAGCGAACTTTCGGCCAAACGCTTTAACCGCTAAAGTGCATCAGTCAGTGGATAGTCACCTGAGTCTGGACGTCTGAGCCACTCACGATGTTCCCTATGGAGCGCAGAGCTGGGGTCTGGAGAGGGAGAGGAACAGAAGCCTTCCTATGTAGTGGTTTAGAGTCTGAAGACCAAACAAGTCAATCTCATATAGCTCTGGGTAATTCCAACTCACTGATCGTAAATGGACCACTAGTCTTTAAAAAAGACCAGACAGATGACTTTATTTACCACCACAGTGAGCTCCTCGAAGCCCATGAGGGAGACCAGACGGGGGACAATACCGGTCTTCACCACAACGTCGATACGGTCGTTGGAACCATCAGTCAGGTAGGACACGGCCCAGCATGCATCACTCAGGATATCCTGATCACTCAGGTGGAGGAGCTGAAGCAGCGAGGGGAGCACCTGGGGGAGGAAGTGCATATTTCTGAATGGGGGGCGGGGGGGGGGGGGTAGAGAACTGGAGTGCAACAGTGTGTTTGTGGAGGTTACCTGTTGGACAGCAGATAGAGGGGGGAAGGGGTTCTTGTTCCTACAGAGGTTAGACAGGGTCCATGTCAGGTTACGAAGGTAACCGACCTGGAGAGGAGAGATGACTTGTAACTAGAGCAGAGAACAGAATGAGAATGAAAGTGATCTACATCTGCTCTCAGGGGTTTTAGGCTGGGTTTCTGTATAAGCACTGACAACTCCTGATATAAAAGGCTTTCTAAATCCATTTGAGAGACTATACTGTTGCAGCACGGGAACCGGTTAATAACGTTTAAGTTCTGCCCAGTTCCCCAAAATGCAAAGCCCACTGTCACTCAGAAAGTTGTCTGCCAGCTGAAAATCTTTGCCAGTGTGCGCGTAGGCTACCTGCCAAAGCATATGCTGCTGACATTGCAAGCGTGATTCAGAAATCAGGAGATAATTGTAAATTGAAGAAAGGTCAACCAATCCTCTATGCTAGCTGATTTATTAACTACAATAAAAGGTAAGACCCTTTTATTCTGGTGCCGATCTGCACGTTAGCGGTCCAACATTAACACAACTGAAGTTCAAAGACAGAGTTTTCATAAACTCATTTTTTTTTTTAAAGAAACGTCCTCACGGTCAACAGCGTTTATTGGCAAACTTAACATATGTTCATACAAATATTTATACCAGATTCAACTACTGAGACAAACTGAACAAGGTCCACAGACATGACTAACAGAAATGGACCTGAACAAGGGGAGGGGGGTCAAAAGCAAAAGTGTCAGTATCTGGTGGCCACCAGCTGCATTAAGTCCTGTAGTGCGTCGCCTCATGGACTGCACCAGATTTGACCGTTCTTACTGTGAGATGTTACCCCACCAAGGCACCTGCAAGTGGCCCTAGCCCTCACCCTCCGAGCCAACAGGTCCCAGACGCACTCAATGGGATTGAGAGCTGGGCTCGTCACTGGCCATGGCAGAGCACTGGCATTCCGGTCTTGCAGGAAATCACACAGAACAAGCAGTTTGGCATTGTCATGCTGGAGGGTCATGTCAGGATGAGCCTGCAGGAAGGGTACCACATGAGGGAGGAGGATGTCTTCCCTGTAACACACAGCGTTGACATTGCCTGCAATGACAAGCTCAGTCCGATAATGCTGTGACACCGCCCCAGACCATGACGGACCCGCCACGTCGATCCCGTGCCAGAGTACAGGCCTCAGTGTAACGCTCATTCCTTCAACGATAAGTGTGAATCCGACCATGGTGAGACAGAACCGCGACTAGTCAGTGAATAGCACTTTTTGCCAGTCATGTCTGGTCCAGCGACGGTGGGTTTGTGCCTGGTGATGTCTGGTGAGGACCTGCCTTACAACAGTCCAGCCTCTCTCAGCCTATTGCGGACAGTCTGAGCACTGATGGAGGGATTGTGCGTTCCCAAGGTGTAACTCGGGCAGTTGTTGCCATCCTGTAACTGTCCCGCAGGTGTGATGTACCGATCCTGTGCAGGGGTTGTTACGTGGTCTGCCACTGCGAGGACAATCAGCTGTCCGTCCTGTCTCCCTGTAGCGCCTCACACAGTACGGACATTGCAATTTATTGCCCTGGCCACATCTGCAGTCCTCATGCCTCCTTGCAGTATGCCTAAGGCACGTTCACGCAGATGAGCAGGGACCCTGGGCATCTTTCTTTTGGAGTTTTTCCAAAGTCAGTAGAAAGGCCTCGTTAGGGTCCTAAGTTTTCATAACTGACCTTAATTGCCTACCGTCTGTAAGCTGTTAGTGTCTTAACGACTATTCCACAGGTGCATATTCATTAATTGTTTATGGTTAATTGAAACAAGCATGGGAAACAGTGTTTAAACCATTTACAATTATCTGTGAAGTTATTTTGATTTTTACTAATTATTTTTGAAAGACAGGGTCGTTTCTTTTTTTTGCTGAGTTTAGACGCCGCTCTTCCAAAGGTAAACTGTTTTCGGAAGATATTCAGACCCCTTGACTTTCCACTTTGTTACAGTCTTCCTCTAAAATAGGAATTTTAAAAGTGTTCCTAAATTTACAAACAATACTCCATAATGATAATGCAATAACTGGTTTAGAAATGCATTACAAATACAGAAATACCTTATTCAGACCCTTTGCTATGACACTCGAAATTGAGCATCGTGTTTCCATTGGGGAGAGGGGGATACTCAGTTATACGTTCAACTGAAATGTGTCTTCATTTAACCCAACCCCCTCTCAGAGGTGCGGAGGGCTGCCTTAAAAAGCGACATCCACGTCGTCGGCGCCCGGTGAACAGTTTAACTGCCTTGCCAGGGGTAGAACAGATTTGTACCTTGTCAGCGCGGGGAAAATCAATCCTGCAACCTTTCGGTTACTGGCCCAATGCTCCTACCCGCCAGGCTACCTACCGCCTCCTTGAGATGTTTCTACCGGTGGTAAATTCAATTGATTAGACACGATTTGGAAAGGCACACCTGTCTATATAAGGTCCCACAGTTGACAGTGCATGTCAGAGCAAAAACCAAGCCATGAGGTTGAAGGAATTGTCCGTAGAGCTCCGAGACAGGATTATGTCGAGGCACAGATCTGGGGAAGAGTACCAAAAAATATTAAAAACTCTGCAGCATTAAAGGTCCCCAAGAACAGTGGCCGCCAGTCTTAAATGGAAGAAGTTTGGAACCACCCAGACTCTTCCTAGAGCTGGCCGCCCGGCCAAACTGCGCAATCAGGGGAGAATGACCTTGGTCAGGGAGGTGACCAAGAACCCGATGGTCACTGACAGAGCGCCAGAGTTTGTGGAGCTGGGAGAACTGACCAGAAGGACAACCATCTCTGCAGCACTCCACCAATAAGGCCTTCATGATAGAGTGGCCAGACGGCAGCCCGCTTGGAGTTTTCCAAAAGGCACCTAAAGGACTGACCATGAGAAACAAGGTTCTTTGGTCTGATGAAACCAAGATTGAACTCTTTGACCTGAAAGCCAAGCGTCACGTCTGGAGGAAATCTGGCACCATGACTATGGTGAAGCATGGTGGCGGCAGCATCATGCTGTGGGGCTGTTTTTCAGCGACAGGGACTGGGAGACTAGTCAGGATCGAGGGAAAGATGAACAGAGCAAAGTAGAGAGATCCTTGATGAAAGCCTGCTCCAGAGCCCTCAGGCTGGGGTGAAGGTTCACCTTCCACAGGACAACGACCCTAAGCACACAGCCAAGACACAGGAGTGGCTTCGGGACAAGTCTCTGAATGTCCTTGAGTGGCCCAGCCAGAGCCCGGACTTGAACCCGATCAAACATCTCTGGAGAGACCTGAAAATAGCTGTGCAGCGACGCTCCCCATCCAACCTGACAGAGCTTGAGGATCTACAGAGAAGAATGGGAGAAACTCCCCAAATACAGGTGTGCCAAGCTTGTAGAGTCACACAAGAAGAATCGCGGCTGTAAGCTATGCCAAAAGTGCATCAACAAAGTATTGGGTAAAGGGTCTGAATACTTATGTAAATGTGGTAGTTTAAAATACATTTGCAAAAAAAAATTACTGGTTTTTGCTTTGTCATTATGGGGGTAGTGTAGATTTTTAATCCATTTTAGAATAAGGGCGTAACGTAACAAACGGGGAAAAAGTCAAAGGGTCTGAATCCTTTCCAAAAGCCTAATTCAGATCATGCATGTCATAAGCCCTTAAAGCCAAGCCTCCTCCACGCTCACCCCACCTGCATGTCATAAGCCCAGCACTTAAAGCCAAGCCTCCTCCACGCCCAGCACTTAAAGCCAAGCCTCCTCCACGCTCACCCCACCTGCCAAGTTTCAGCCGCATCTCGCCCGGCCAATGCATGCAAATAGCTTGACTGCTCCATAGAAAGCGGCTCTAATTGGTGCGGCTAACTTAATATATACAGTAACTTAGATTCAAACGGGTTCAGAACTTTATTTTGCTGTTCGGCATCATGTTCAGAAGGAACAGAATGGAAAATTGGTTCCAACATGTTATGAACTTGGTCCACCTGGTGAGTAGAGCCAAACCATGACTTGTAACATGCAAGTAGACAATAGGGTATGGCCAGGCGTACATTAGGGTAAAGGAGTACATTAAGGACCCTACAGAGAGATCACTAGGTGTGCGTGTTTGAACTTACAGGTGTGTCTGGGGTGATCCTAGACAGCAGAGCAGGGATCACGTTACATTCTATCAGAGTATCTCGATACGCCGGACCGTCACCTGAAAAACGGGAAACAGTCTTAGTATGCAGGCTTTTGTTCCAGCCCAGTTGCCCTCCAGCTCTGCGCGTTACCTGCTATGTTTCCCAGGGCCCAGACAGCCTGCTCACTGATGTGTAACATGGGGGATGCCAGCAGAGCGATGAAAGCTGGCACTGCACCGTGCTCCACCACCTGTAGAGGGAGACGTTACACCAGTCAGCTTCATCAGGGCTGGCACCACTTGTGCCATCTAGAGGACACCTAGCAGTGCAACAGTTTGGAAAGTTAAATACACAATAGTTCATAAGGAAATCAGTCTTGGTGGCCTTTTTTCCCCCCAACGTGCACCTGTGTAATGATCAAGCTTCTTGATATGCCACATCTGTCAGGTGGATGGATTACCTCCTGGCAAATGAGATGGCTCACTAACAAGGATGTAAACAAATTTGTGCACAACATTTGAGAAGTAAGCTTTGTGCGTATGGAACATTTCTGGAATCTTTGATTTCAGCTCATAAAAACATGGGCCCAAGACTTCACAAGTTGCATTTATATTTTTGTTCAGTATAGTAGTCGTTCACCACCAGGTCGGCAGAGCCATAGCTAGCTGAAGCGATGGTGAAAGCTCAGGGCCGTGTGTATATGAACCTGTTGTGTGTGCCAGGAGGTCCCTGAGGCAATGTTGGTTAGAGCCCAGGCGGCTTCAAACTGCAGACTGGGGTCATCATCTCTCCCTAGGAACTCAACAAATCTGGACAGCAGCCCTGCCTCCACAATCTCCTTCAGCGGAGGCTTACACTCCCGGGACAGCAGCTTCCTACGGGGGGGAAGAGAAGAAGAGTTGAGTAACCCTAGTCCCTGTAGATCTAACCAACCTATTCCTGTAATTAATTAATGCATGCATTCAGTTGTGCCACTGACTAGGTATCCCTTCCCCACACTTGGACAGCCATTATCGTTGATGTATTACATTTACATCATATAGCTAGTGAGTGCATACATTCTTCATACTGGCGACAATCACCAACGTCGTCGCTTCCCCACTTGGTCAGCCATTATCATTGATGTATTAGAGACAATCACCAATGTTGCAACGGTCGCTTGCCAGTGGACAGGACCTTGCCAATACCCTTACTACCTTCCAGCCATCACTAGACAGGTCAGGTGATCGAGATGCACAGCAAAGACTAAAACAATGCGATAGATGAGACTGCTGCAAAAACACTTCAACACAACCAAAATAAGTTGTGGCTCAGTGGGTAACAGTGCTGCTCGCAACACCAAAGTCAGGTTCAGTTACCTAAGGGATCAACCCATCTCCGGTCCATCTCACCTGGCAGCCTGGCATCCTCGAGTCTGTCTCTCCTTACAGTCGCCGTTCACATGACCAACAATTTCCTTGATGGTAGTCAGAGTCACCTGGAGACATCATGAAGCATTACAACCAAGTGTCATGACACAAGGTACAATAACCACACTTCTACAAAATACCCTTGCAGAGGTAGGGGGGGTCAAATCATTTTCAAATTCAGAATCCCCACGATACTCAGACAACATTTGTGTATAGGAATTTCAGTTTACTTCCTGAATTGAAATTGACCAACCCAGCCACCATACAATTCTGTGTCCCAAACAGCATCCTATTATATCACACTTTTGACTAGCGTCCATATAGCCAGTAGTACACTACATACAGAAAAGGGTGTTATTAGGGGATGGACCGTTTTGACTTTGATTAAAAGCCAACAATATCCTCAGTCTGAAATCACCTGGAGATGCCGTGACAAAAGCTATAACGACCTTATGTAGCCTACATTGACATCCCATATTGTAAGCGCTACACAGATGAAGGGTTGTCAACACATTAGCCTCCAACCATTTGATTGTAGGCCACAAATATGACTGTTACCTAGTGATTACTTTAAGGTACAGTATGCCAGCAATCCATGGTTTAGTTTCCCCAGAAATGTTTCCACACGCTGACGTTTGAGCATTAGTGCACAAATCCAATTAAAGTCATAGGTCAATATTAAATGGGATTTGTAGTACAATTGTTGCTAAAAAAAAGTTAATGTGGAGACAGTGCCAGGGAAACTACACTACGCATTGCCGGCGTCATACCTTGTCCATAGACTTTACAGTCTGGGTGAAATGAAACCAATGATGTCAAATTGTAATTTGGGAGAACTATAACCTTTACTGTAACAAGTCATCAAATCTGTACCTTGTAGTCGTCTGTGTTGAAGTGTGGTGACAGGTCCTCGTCCTCCGGTAGAGTGGAGATGTTCCTCCTCTTGAGAAAGTTTTCGTTCTTCGCGGCTTTCCGCAGCTCCACGCACTCCGCTATCCGCCGCTCACGGAGCTTCTGCAGATCAACGACATTGATATCAAGTTACAACGTATTCAATAAAAAAAACTAATTAAGTCTAATTTTTGGAAAATCATTACGATTGAAGGCTATACGTGCTGCCATCCTGTGCTCACGGAGTTGGATGGGGAAAGATCCAACCCGAAGCGTGGAAAAAGAATGCGGAACAAAAATAAAGGGACGGACCTTTTATCAAAGTAACGTTAACTCGACAGTATAGATAATCAAAGGCTCCGGATCTGCCTTACCGACGGCTCTTTTCCCTTGTTCTTGAACTTGCTCAGACGGTCATCAGTAGCATTCTTGGTGGGCATGTTGACCGTTGGGTTAGTTTAGACTGACACAGTTCTCTCTTCGCGACACAACAACCGAATGCTCCCTGTAGGATTGTCAGGAGTTTAAATACCTCTTCTGAAGGACGACAGGTGCATCTCCATCCTGGTGATTAGAGTGACACACGCTCCTCCTTATTCTGCCCCGGTCAATCCACTGGTGCGCTTGATTGAGCTCGCCTGTGGCGCCGGTGGGCAAAGATCCCTCATGAAAACCAATGCATTGCCCCAAAAATGCACAACCCGGCCCATATCAAGCACATACATTGTGTGAAACGGTGTCTTTTTCTTATATTAACAAACTCTGTTTTCAATATTTAATAAACCTACTCTATATTACTAGTTTAGCCTACTAACGTCAAAAGCAATGTTAACGGCCCAGTGCACTCAAAATTATGTTTTTCCTTTGTTTTGCATCATATTGTACAACAGCTGATGAAACTAATGCTGTAAAAGTGTGACAAAATTTTTGATCTGTGTTATTTTCTGATACAGTGCCTTCAGAAAGTATTCACACCCCTTTACCTGTTCCACATTTTGTTGTGTTAAAATTGAGATGTGAGTCACTGATCTACACACTATACACACACAGTGACATTTTGTTTGCAGAATTTTTTTAGAAATTAATAAAAAATGTAAAGCTGAAATGTCTTGAGTCAATAAGTATTCAATCCCTTTGTTATGGCAAGCCTAAATAAGTTCAGGAGTAAAAATGTGCTTAACAAATCGCATAATAAATTGTATGTGTGGGGTACAGATTCAATTACAAAGACCAAGGAGGTTTTTCTATGCCACCAAAGAAGGGCACCGATTGGTAGATGTGTAAAAATGCAAAATAGCAGCTGCTGAATATCCCTTTGTGATTGGTGAAGTTAATGATTAGGCTTTGGATGGTGTATCAATACACCCAGTCACTACAAAGATACAGGCGTCCTTCCTAACTCAGTTGCCGGAGAGGAAGGAAACTGCTCAGGTAAGCCAATGGTGATTTGTGACTCGTTTCAGGAAACTAGGCGTATGTCGCGCAACACTACTTCACAGGAGTAAACATGCATTTTTTTTTGTCAGAAATGCCTTCTGGAACATGTGAACTTTCATGTGCCTTAATAACAAATGTGTATGCCATCTGTAAATATGAATAAAATGGGTAAATTACGAGCCTAGTTGGTTTAGCCACGGAAAAAGACAGGAACTTTCCCGCTTGCCATGATTGGCTGAGATAATGGATGGGCTGGACATGCCGAGAGATGAGTTCGGATTGGTCTGCCATGTAGCACGCTATAACATGAGCTGGTCAGTATGTGTAGGTAATCCTTTCTAACGCGGCTTTTAAAAAATATATATCACGTAGTAGAACTGCAAAAGTGTTGCTCTCCACTTTCTGGAGGACCGAGTTTTGAAATCAGTGGAATGCCCGGTAGAAGCAGAGTATGATAGCTAAGGAGATGGAGAAAATTCAGGCGTTTGATTGCAAATGCGGAGGGAGTCGAAAAGAGAACACAGAAGGCTGTTGTAAAACACCTGTCTCCGGATTACATCTTCAAACTAAGGGCAACCATGGCATCCGTGACAGAGAGGGAGAAGCGTTCATCCATGTATACGGGTAAGAGAGTCTAGCTAGTTATAGCCTAATGTTAGCTAGCTAGCTAACATTGACCTTAGCTAGCTAGTTGGTTAGCTTTAGCTACCTGTAGATTCATGCAGGGTTGTAATGTGTTGGGATTATGGTTCATTGTTTTGCTAGATACATGTCTAAACAAAAGACTCCACTATGCAAGTAGCAATTTCACTGTATACCGTTTACACCTTCTGTATCCTTTGCATGTGACAAATAAACTTAGATTTTATTTGATATAGTGTGTGTTTACCAGAGACGGTAATGTGAAGAACAACATGACCTGCACCAAAGTCAGATTAGGATATAACGTTAGGCCAACGAGACAGTGTCCAAGTTCTACACTTCTCCGATAGAATGCCCTCCTTTTGTTTCATCACAACTTTAAGCTATTTTCTGTAATTAGCTCGCCATTAACTTGTAAATAATGATCTTGTTGTGAGTTTATTTTCCTGTAATAATGTATACAAATTAGCTAAAGTTAAGACGTTGTCAGCTATATGATATGGTCATTATTTGAACTGGCTAGCCAGCTAACTTAACTTTAGCTAGCTAGCTAACAAGCTAGAAACTAACCAAAACATTGTTTAGAAAGTTGGTGTTAGTTGCCTGGTTTGCTAGATTTACATATACTAAATTCATTTTTAAACGGATGGGTTAATTGATGTTAAAATACACCAGTTATGCTATTTTGAACCACCAGGCCACCAGACTGTCGTTTTTGTGTTTATACTTTTTCATAACGACAACGACAAGTTTGATGTTGGACGACAATAGAATGTTCATGTTCATGATGTCACTGCGACAACTGTATACAGACATGTCGATAGACGTAGTATAAACCTGCCTTTAGTGTTGAAATCTTTGGTTGTTTAGTCCACTACCGTACTCACTCTGTTTAGTACATGGCCTCACATGGTCTACCCTGCTAGCCTACCCTGCCACTACCTTACTCACTCTGTTTAGCACATGGCCTCACATGGTCTACCCTGCTAGCCTACCCTACCACTACCGTACTCACTCTGTTTAGCACATGGCCTCAGATGTGAATCCTTAAATAGATGGGTGGGGCTAAGGCTTAAGAGGGTGTGAACGATGCAGAATGGGTGTAGACAAAAGAAGAGCTCTCCAAAAGAAATGAACGTTTTGTCCTGAATACAAAGCATTATGTTTAGGAAAATCCAACACAACACATCACTGAGTACCACTCTTAATATTTCAAGCATGGTGGTGGCTGCATCATGTTATGGGTATGCTTGTCATTGGCAAGGACTTTGTAGGATAAAAATAAATGGAACAGAGCTAAGCACAGGCAAAATCCTAGAGGAAACCCTGGTTCAGTCTGCTTTCCAACAGACACTGGGAGACAAATTCACCTTTCAGCAGGATAATAACCTAAAACACAAGGCCAAACCTACACTGGAGTTGCTTTCTATGACAACATTTAAAGTGTTTGAGTGGCCTAGTTACAGTTGATACTTAAATCGGCTTGAAAATCTATGACAAGACTTGAAAATGGCTGTCTAGCAATGATCTACAATCAACCTGACAGAGCTTGAAGCATTTTTAAATAACAATATGCAAATATTGTACAATCCAGGTGTCACGGTTTCGGCCGAGGCTGCCTCTCTCCCTTGCTCGGGCAGGCTTCGGCGTTCGTCGTCTCCGGAATACTAGCTGCCACCGTTGTATGTTTCTATGTTCGTTTGCTTTTGTCTGATTGTTGTACACCTGTTATCGTTTAGTGTAATTAGTGTCCTATAAGTTCTCGTTGTGTTTGTCAGGTGTTGTGTGTGATTGTTTTACTGTCGTGCCGGTAGGCTGGAATATTACTGTTTGCTCGGTTGAGCTATTTTGCTCCTTAGTTTTGGAGTATTTCGTCGCACCTGTTTGTGCGCTTGTGTTTTCGCCTACGTGCGGAGCTTTTGCCTCAGGGCATTTATTTCGTGTTTGTTTTGCTGTGCATCACTAAAGTCTGTTGGACTAACGTACTGCGTCCTGCGCCTGATTCCACCCACACCCACCTACATCTACCTTGACACCAGGTGTGGAAAGCTCTTAGAGACTTACCCAAAAAGACTCACAGCTGTAATTGCCGCCAAAGGTGCTTCTACAAAGTATTGACTCAGGGGTGTGAATGGGGCGGCAGGTAGACTAGTGGGTAAGAGCGAATTCTCGAACTGGCAAGGTGGAAAAATCTGCTGTTCTGCCCTTGAGCAAAGCAGTTAACCCCCAACGACAGGTGCTCCACAGGCGCCGATGACATGGAGGTCGATAAAGGCAGCCGGCCAGCTGCACCTCTCTGATTCAGAGGGTTAAATGCAGAAGACACATTTTGGTTTAATACATTCAGTTGTGCAACTTCCCCACTTATGTAAATGAGATATTTCTGTATTTCGTTCTCAATAAATCTGCAGAAATGTCTAAAAACATAATTTCACACTTTTGTCATTATGGGGTGTTGTGTGGAGATGGTTGAGAAAAAATATATATTAAATTCATTATGAATTCAGGCTGTAACACAACAAAATGTAGAATGTAGAAGTCAAGGGGTATGAATACTTTCTGAAGGCACTGTAGTTGCTGGTTGAAAATACAATCTACATAGGACCTTCTAATCAGCATGGGGGTGTCACGCCCTGGCTCTAGGGACTCTATATGTTGAGCCAGGGTGTGTAGATTCCATGTGTTTATGTTCTGTGTGGGAGTTCTAGTTGTGGTATTTCTATGTTGGCCAGAGTGGCTCCCAATCAGAGGCAACGAGTGTCAGCTGTTGCTGGTTGTCTCTGATTGGGAGCCATATTTATACAGTCTGTTTCCCTTAGTGTTTGTGGGTTCTTGTTTCCGTTTGGTTTGTTCCTTGTTGGTTGTGTTAAACTGTAGGACTGCACGTTTCGTTTTGTTGTTTTGTTGTTATACTATCACTTAAGATAATAAAGTTAAGTATGTTCGCAACCAACGCTGCGCATTGGTCTACTCTCTACGACGATCGTGACAGGGGGGAGTTTCGGCTTGCCTGTTGATGAGTTAAAAGACCAGTAACAAAGAGAGTTCCAAATCTCTGCCAATAACAGCTCGTTTTCAGTTTCCCCTCCCCAATCAGACCACTCCCACTCCTAGCAAAATTCTTGCTTGAAAATAGTTTTTTGCTAAAAAGCTATTTTTGTTTCTTTCTGACCATTTTCATGAAAAACTATTACAGTACTTACGGTACTTCATTGTTACCCAGAAATGAATTGATTTTATTATTAAAACGTCTGCCTTTAATTGGCATAGCACTGGAAAATAAAGTGTCTTCGGAAAGTATTCAGACCCCTTGACTTTTTACACAAGTTGTTACGTTTTTTTGTTTTTGTTGCCTTATTCT